GTTAAGAAAGGGAAAAGTAGTTCTTACACACAGTTCTAAATGTTAGATTAAGATCCCCAAGATGTGCTTATAAAACACTTTTTAATTAACCCACAAATTACATGTGTGTATTTCCTCCTGAATTTTTTAAATCACAGTAAGGTAAGAATAGGAATGAAAGACAATAGAAAATTAGTTTCAGAAATATTTTAGCTGACAGGGCACAGCAGCTCACCCCTATAATCTCAGCACTTTGGGAAGTCAACACAGAAGAATTGCTTGAGGCCACGAGTTTGAGACCAGCCTGGGCAACATAGCAAGACACTGTGTCTACAAAAAACTTCCAAAAAAAGAAAAATTGGTGGGATTACAGGTGGCACCTGTAGTCCCAGCTACTCAGGAGGCTTAGGCAGGAGGGTTATTTGAGTGCAGGAGTTGAGGCTGCCGTGAGCCCTGACTATGTCACTGCATTCCAGCCTGGGCGACAGAGTGAGATTCTGTCTCAAAAAATAAAAATTAAAAAAATTTAGCCACCTTAGCCGCTGTGGACATTCATGGAAACCATTATGAAGAAGAATTTTTTTTCCAATAGTACTTTTCATGAATTATACGTGTTTTCAACAGCAATAGCTTAAGGTTACATACACATATTTCATGGGCTTGACAGAAGTATCAGAAAAGGAACTGCATTTGAGTTTAGCATTTATCAACATTGAAAAAAGAAGACCCTAGATACTAAATTCAGTGTCTCTGTGGTTTTAAAAATTTCTTTGAGACAGAACTCTTCTCAAAAGATGTCTTATGGACAATGCCGATGTATGGAAGAGATGGGGGTGGAGCTGCTCTGATTGGCGTGGGGATCGGGGCCCTGGGCCAAGGTCAGATTGCCCATCTTTCTGACTGCCCTTCTGTAGCCCTCCTGGTACCTCCTCCTGGGAGTCCTGTGGCTCAATAGAATGCAGTACAAAATCCTAATTTAGTTTAACTTCTTGACTTTGCAGTTGAGGGAACTGAGGCACAGTTCATCAGTGGATGGACTGGGCCAGAATGCAGTTCTTCTGCTTCCTAGAGCAGAGCATTCTCTACCATACCATGCTGTCTGTTTTCAGCTCCTGAAATTAGTCCCAGACATGAAAATGTTTCCTTTTAACCAAATAGAGAACATTTCTTTATCAACAGAAACCAAGGAGAGTTACCGTATAAAGTATATTTGTGGCCTGTATACTTTCAAATAGAAGATAATTTTTGGAAGTGAATTCTGTTTTTCTGTTGTCCCCAATTATGAGTTTAGTGATACATGCTTTTGAAAAATTCCTCCAGTAGATGAAATTAAAAATACTTAGTCTTAAAAATGGTGACCAGCTTGCAGCAAAGTCAGACTGACTGATATTGCTGACTGTCTCCACCCACTGCCTATTCCTGCCTTCTGCAGTGTTTTCTGCCTTTGTCCTGTGAGGTGCTACGCTGTGTTCTTCGGGCCTTAGGATACTCCCTGAACTTAAAGATTCCCACTCCCAGATGAAACTTGGATTGCTTCCCCTCAACCTTAGAGACCCACACCCTTCCTCAGATAAAAATCTAATTTGTCTCCTACACCCCTGTCATTCCCATGTGCCCTACCAGTAAAGAGTCTGGTTTTTTTGCACATTCCCTCCAGCCAAGAAAATTCTATTGAACTTCTTGGGTTTAAAAAAATCCGCATTTTTAGTTGGGTACAGTGGCTCATGCCTGTAATCCCAGCACTTCGGAAGGCTAAGGCAGGAGGATCACTTTAGTCTAAGAGTTTGAGACCAGCCTGGACAACATAGTGAGACTTGGTCTTTACAAAAAATAAACAAAATTAGCTGGATGTGGTGGCATGTACCTGTAGTCCTAGCTACCTAGGAGGCAGAGGTAGGAAGATTGCTTAAGCCCAGAAAGTCGAAGTTGCAATGACCAATATCATGCCACTGCAACTCCAGCCTGGGCAACAGAACAAGACCCTGCCTCAAAAACAAAAAGATATTTTTGTACAAATGTGAAAAATAATATGATTTTGCAAATCACACTTCTCCCCTAATTCTGATATGCTGTGTCTTGGGGGGAATAGCATGGGTACATGGAGTGTTGAGATCACTGGTTTATCAGTCACTGAAATGTAGGTCTCCAGTTTTTGCTTAAATTTTTTCTTGGTTTCTAAAATGTCAATTCTGACACAAACCTATCACAATTTGTTATCTAAAATAATGTATAATGTAAATTAAAAATTCACTGTGTAAATTCAATATGAAATTTGGCATATTAAGTTTACTGTTGAGATGTGTTGCCTGGTCTTCATAGCACATTTTTATATTGCTTTAGCCTGATTTCTCTTGCTTCCTACCCACTCCTGAACATCTATTTTTCAACCATAATCTACATTTTTCATCTAACAGAATTTAGTTATGTACTAATCATTAAGTAATCTCAACTAGTGTGATTCACTTTGTGCAGTTAGAAAATTGTTCTAGTAAAGTGTGATTTTCTTAAAGAGGACTACAAGAGGATATCAGGATAATAAAAAGTGACATATTGGTGTCACTTCTGAGATCATATATTTTTTTCAATCACTTAGCCTTTCTATCTGTAGAGAGATACGGGTTTTGCTTTCAAACTTGCGGGTAAAAAAGTCTGTTTTATTTTCTCCAGATCAAAGCAAGCCAGCTCCCAAGCCTGTCTGGAGGTGGATATTTAGTCATCCCTGTTGCTTTGTTCCCACTCTCAGAAGGAGCATGCAAAGGGTTATATACAGAGAAAACGTTAAGGAAAGACCTCTCCGTCTCCAGCTCATACCAGTTACTATGACCACTGTTCAAACCGCTGTGGTTCCTTGTAACCATGTTGGTGTTTGTAGGATGCTTTGAAAAAGTTTTGGGGACAGGAATCTTGGAATGCTGGGAGCCCCTGGGCCTGGGATCTAGCTTCTCTGGGTACTACAGCTGCTTCCCTTTCAGGTTTAGCTATATGCAGAGGCGCCACTGGGGAGAAAGGTGCAGGTCTCCATAGCTTGGGAAATCCACAGCCTTTGGTTCCTTTCCAAAGTCCTGGATAATCTCCTTGTACTCTTTGGCTCTCACAACTGCTTCTCTTTTACCTTCTAAAAGCCCAGCATTTGTCTTTCTCCTCGACCCACAGGATAATGCTCTCTTTTAAATGAAATTTTGGAAGAAAGTTTGTCTTCAGGGGGATCTGGCACCCAAAGCTTCGCCTGAAATAAGGGAACACAAAGACTTGTCTTGTCTACCTTTCTTTTTTTTTTTTTTTTTTTGAGACGGAGTTTCGCTCTTGTTACCCAAGCTGGAGTGCAATGGCGCAATCTCGGCTCACCGCCACCTCCACCTCCCCCTCCCGGGTTCAGGCAATTCTCCTGCCCCAGCCTCCTGAGTCGCTGGGATTACAGGCACGCGCCACCATGCCCTGCTAATTTTTTGTATTTTTAGTAGAGACGGGGTTTCACCATGTTGACCAGGATGGTCTCGATCTCTTGACATCGTGATCCACCCGCCTCGGCCTCTCACAGTGCTGGGATTACAGGCTTGAGCCACCGCGCCCGGCCTTGTCTACCTTTCTTGAATCAGGAGTGGGGAAACAGAAGGAGAGCAAAATCTAAATGAGTATCTCAACAGATTCTCCTGTGTGACATTTGATACATATAATACTCAACATGATGATGGTATTAGAATAATAGAAAAGTTCTTTATTCCTTTGTTTGTCTGGAAAGTCATTCCCTAATATTGTGTTGTTTTATATACATGTGATATCAATATTATCATCAAGGAGTTAACCGTTCCAATGAACAAACTCACCCCACTCTTCATCTCTTCTCATTTCTTATCTTGCAGTAGGTAGAAGAGAAAAAGACCTGCATTTTGTTCTCCAGGCCATGGAGGGCAGCAATGGAGATTTGTTCCATAGCTAGAATAGTAGTTTTCTTTTTTTTTTTTTTTTTTTTTTGAGACGGAGTTTCGCTCTTGTTACCCAGGCTGGAGTGCAATGGCGCGATCTCGGCTCACCGCAACCTCCGCCTCCTGGGTTCAAGCAATTCTCCTGCCTCAGCCTCCTGAGTAGCTGGGATTACAGGCACGCACCACCATGCCCAGCTAATGTTTTGTATTTTTAGTAGAGACGGGGTTTCACCATGTTGACCAGGATGGTCTCGATCTCTTGACCTCGTGATCCACCCGCCTCAGCCTCCCAAAGTGCTGGGATTACAAGCGTGAGCCACCGCGCCCGGCCCTAGAATAGTAGTTTTCAAAGTGTACTAGCAAGGTATTTGAAATTGTCCCAGTGGACACCAAGTGTGCAAGGCTCTGGGGACTCCCATCTCTACTTTAATTACAGTAGCTGTGATTTTAGTTTTTTTTTTTTTAAAAAAAACTTATGTATTCAATTCTACATAAAATTTTGGTTTAAGGGAGGATTCCATTGCTATAAAAAGTTTGAAAATCATGGAAGACGTGCAAGTATATGCCTACAACATTTGAAATTCCCCAGTGTTTTGCATTAAAGGTCCTCCTTTTTCAATATTATAATTTTATGCTATAGAAAAAAAAAAACTTCCCCTTTAAATTCTCTGTTGCTTTATCAGTTACATGTGAAGATTCCCAAGTGATAGGCCAAGTTTAGGGCACATCATTATATGATTCACTTAGACTGTCAGTTTCTTTTCTGGTTAATAGAACATCTATTGTGGGTGGTGGTTGAAAATCTTCTGCTTGCTATACTGAAATAGTGAGTTCTTGTTAGCTACCATAATTCAGCCTGAATGTTCACTGGACACCACAATATAGGAGGCATTAAGTAGCTCCAACTGAATAATGTTCACATTAACCAGAATTAAAAATTCTTCACTGGTAATATTTTGTAGTTATAGTGATCATCACATACATTTATTTCTAACCACTGGTTCTTTTTAAAAAGTTTAATAACAAATTATTCAACTGTAGTAACAAATTATTATTCAGAGGATTTTATAATTCAACACAGACAACAGTATGTGAAAATAATTTTTAAATGGTTAACTTTATTGTGTTATGTCTCACCAAATAACATATATGCTGTAATATTCATTGAAATTAAAGATTTCATGATACAAGTTTAAATGTTCATACTAAATATCTTGTAATGACATTTTAATCTTAGAATTCTATATTTTTGCTTGTTGAAAACACAGTTGAGTAAAATTACTTTGGTGTCAGACATTTTTAGTAATACATACAATCAGCAAGTTTTCAGAACAGAAAGTTTCTTTTTTAGCCTACTCTGCTATCATTATTCTAATATACATAGTCTTATAACAACATACAATATCTGTTGCAGAGTGTAAGCTTTACAATATTTCTCTTCTATTAGTATCTGATACTAAAATTAGAGTATTCAAGTTTAGAGATGGTTTTTTCATTAGAAAAGTTTGTGCGGTCAATGCGAGAACTAGGGCTTCCAACCTTGCTCAGCCAGGACTTCCTACAAAAAATAGACAAATAAATAAAATTAGCACACAGAGTATACATGGATATGCTAAAATGATCCCCCGGTAGGTATTAATGGGAGTTTACTAAGTAACTTTTTGCATATATGTGATATTTAAATTTGTTTACATTGTATATATCACTCTAAGAATACCATAAAGTATAATTAAATATGGACAAAGAAAAGCTAATAAATTAAGAACAGAAAATTCCTGATGATTTTATATTAGAGTTATTCCCTCCACTCCCCAACTTAAAACACTCCAAGGCCATTGTTACCTAGCTCTTATACTCAAAACGATAAAAACATTTTTATAAGGAGCTTAGTAATAAAAACAATTCACTATTGTTTCCTCATTACTCAGCACATGGTAGATGTTTCATGTATTTATGTATGTGTGTGTGTGTGTATATATACACATACATATATATACACACACACACACACATATGCATGAACATACAGATATATTTATGGTGAGAGAGATCAATACTGAAAGAATAAAGAATAAACATAATTTTCCAAAAACATTAAAAGATGAGCATTTTTTCTTATCCAAATATTGTTTCTCATCACATATATTAACAAAGCAATTATATTAAAGGACAAGTTGAATGCTCTGAAATATTTTTCTGCTTACTTAGTGCAATGATTTATCTTATTAGTGATATCCATGTATCTAATTTATGCATTAGGGCACTTACCCTAGATGCTTCCTATATAATTCAGGCCTATTGTATATTGCTGACATCTCAGCTAACACTGAGGATTTTCCAGAATCTTTCTACTTATGAATAATTAGTTGGGATGATAGATTTAGTGGGACTATGGGTTTATAAAACAAAGCTATTTTATACAAATAATGGCTGTTATCTCAGTTGCTGTTGTAGAAACATCCTATGAGTTTACTCATATCCCAGAATTACTTCAGGTTGTGAAGCTAGGGCTGTATACAGCTATGCAGTATGGTATGTGACAATCTTATATAACTTTAGATCAAGAATATTTTCCAGGTTAGCTGAAAATTACTCTTAATCAGACTAGAGAAGAAATCTAATGACTCAAATTGCCACTGTGCTTTCTTAACCCTTTATTTGGATCTTATTTATGACAGTTTTATTGGGTGAGGTTAATTTGGACTTTTCTTCTTTTTCTTTAGCTCATTTAGTTGGAATCTTTAAAATGAAAATGTCACGTGCTGAAGAAAAAAACTTTTTTGTTTTGCTTTGTCTTTCAAGACAGAGTCTCACTCTGTTGCTCAGGCTGGAGTGTAGTGGCGAGATCTCCGCCACTGTGACCTCCACCTCCCGGATTCAAGCAATTCTCCTGCCTCAGCCTCCCAAGTAGCTGGGACTACAGGTGCTTGCCACTACACCTGGATATTTTTTTATTTTTATTAGAGACGGGAATTCACCATGTTGGCCAGGCTGGTCTTGAACTCCTGACCTCTGGTGATCCGCCTGCCTCAGCCTCCCAAAGTGCTGGGATTACAGGCGTGAGCCACGTGCCCTGCCAAAAAACTCAGTTTTTATGACAAGGAGCTGATAGCTTCAACTTTACTAGTCACGTCTTCCTGAAACCTAGACAAGAGAGGCCACAAATAATAATGAGAGCTAAAATTTATTAAGCACTAACAACTTTTTTTTTTCTTTTTTGAGACAGAGTCTCACTCTGTCACCCAGGGTGGAGTGCAGTGATGCAATCATGGTTCACTGCAGCCTTGACCTTCAGGGCTTAAGCAATCCTCCAGCCTCAGTCCCCAGGTAGCTGGGACTACAGGCACACACCACCACACCTGGCTAATTTTTTTGAATTTTAGTAAAGACAAGATCTCACTATATTCCCTAGGCTGATCTCCCAGCCTCAAGCAATCCTCTCTCCTCAGCCTCCCAATGTGCTGGGATTACAGGTGTGTGCCACCATGCCTGGCCAAGCACTAACAATTGGTTTGACACTTTGCTAAGTTCCTTGCATGTCTTATCTTTTATTCCACACGTGAACCCTGTAAGTGATAGGCTAGTATTACCCCCAGTTATTGATGAGAAAAGAGAGATACTTAAGAGATAGTAACTTGCCCAGGGTGGTTAGCAGAGTGGTTGTGAGGAGGATTCAGATTCTGAGTATATTTTGAAGATATAGTAAAAGTAGATTTGCTGACAGATTGAATGTGGGTGTGAGAAAAGGAGAGGAGTGAAGGATGACACCAGAGTTTTTGGTGTGAGTAACTAGTTGGATGGGATTGTCATTTGCTGAAATGGAGAGACTGAGAGAGGAGCAGATTTTGGGGGAAGGGGAAGAGCAGAATCTCAGTTTTGGAGTGTTACATTTGAGATCTCTGTTAGACATCCACAAGTGAGATGTTGAGTAGGCAGTTGGACCTACGAGTCTGGTTGGGGAAATAAAATTTGGAATTTGTCAGCAGATAGACAGTGTTGAAAGCTCTAAGATTGGCTGGGATCATCAAGAAAATGAATATAGATAGAAAGATAGGTCCAATGACTGTACTTTGGGAGTTCTCCAATGTTAAGTGCTCAGAAAGCAGAGGAAGAACCAGCAAAGGAGGAGAAGCATCCAGTGAGGTATGAGAAAAACTGGTGCACAGGAAGCCCAGTCGAGCCCTCAGCAAGTAGAGGGGGATCCACCAGGCCAATGCTGCTGGCACGGACAGTGAGGTAAGAAATGAGAATTGGCCATTGTGTTCAGCAATGTGGACGTCACCTGTGACCTTGGCAGGAGAAGTTGTGGTGGCATGAAAGCCATATTTGAATGGGCTCAAGAGAAGGGAGAAACTGAAACCAATGAATCAAGACTAGGACTACAAGGCATAGGAACTGCAATGACTAATCCACCTGAGCTGACAGCTCAATGTATTCAACTAGTTAAGACACCTGCCTGTATCTGGTCTTCAATGTCATCAGGGACTTCTTCCCAGCCAAAAGTACAGCCTGAGAGGAATCTATGCCACTGATGGGGCAGATGGTCATGGTGTTGGGAGACTGAGCTTTGTTTACCCTGTGGGGAGGATGGTCACTTTGTGTCATGGTTCCATATATGCAGCCCTGTTGCTAAGAACCGCCCTGCCTGATCTGCCTCCTCAGCTAGGAGTGTTCTGGTCACCTGTCACTTGGCAAGCCCTGAGACCTCACTCTCATGTGCTGCTTTTGCAGTCAGCCCTTGGTAGGTGTGGCTCAGGACTGAAGATGGCAGAACTGAGAGTTCTCCAAGTAAAAAAGAACCAGTCACAAAATTTATGTCTAATGAGAATTCGTGTGGAATTTACATATATGTTTGTGTTTTATATACATATAAACGTGTGTATGTATACATACATATAAATATAATCTCTAATCCTTAGTGTTAGAGTGACATAATCGAGCAGTACTAGTTAATCCAATTCAATAAACATTTACGTAGGACTTTATGTAAGTCATTCTAGATACTGGAGGGCATACCTAGAGATTTAAAATGGAATTCCTTCCCTCAGTATCTTACATTCCAATAGAAGAGTTTGGAGAATAATAAAAATGGCCATGATATTAAGGCAGAATATGATGGGCAGTGTGATTTATATAAAGGGAGAAGGGAATTGGGGGGTTAACTCTGGTCAAGGTACTCAGAGACATAATTGTGACAGCAATGACATTTGAGCTAAGTTTTAAAGAAGATATAAGTGGTTTTTTTCCCCTAAATCTTAGAATGGGAAATGCCAATTTAAACATGACAGAAAACCAAGAAACACAGGGAAAATGTTGATGATGTTAGCAAATTTAAAAAATGCAAAACATTTGAATGCCAGAAGAAAGTCTTAAAGGCAAACAAAAAGCAATCTGATAAAACTTATTTGCAGCTTTCTTACTACACAAACGGTACTTGGAAATTAATATACCATATTTATGGTACCTGGTGTATTACCAATATGTATGACTGTGCAACAGAAAAATGGGCAAATAACACAAGCAAATGAAAGGGAAATATAAATAGCCAGTAAATATGTAAAAACATTCTCACTTTTAAGCATAATTTAAAAAATACAAATAAAGAATAAGACACCATCTGTCACTTATGAAATGGCAAGATTTAAAAGCTTGATTAATATCCAGTAGTGGCAGTTAGGGCGTAGGAAAAGAGGAACTTTTCTACATTGGTGATGGGAGTGCAAATTTGTACAGATTTTTGAAAGGGCAACCTGGTACTACCTAACAAATTATTAAATGTCCTTGTCTTACAAACATACTGTCAGAAGCAGGCTGGGATACAGGGCTCTGAGATGATTAGCATGCAGGAAGTTAATTAGGGAATGCTCTCAGGTTTAACAACTTGTGGGAGGCAAGGAAAGGAGACAAGATTGGACTGAGGGAGAGCTGGGCAGTGATGCAGTCTCAGTGTAAGTCTTTAGCCAAGACTCAAGGAGCTCTGAAACTGGGAAGACCTTTAAGAGTTGTCTCAAGTTAAGGTGAGAGAGCTGGTCTTTATATTCCCCACATTAACCCAGTCATTAGAGGAGAGCTGCCCAGGGAAGAGGATGTGACCTTGAGTGAGGTGACTTTCTTCTGCTGAGCAATTTCTGAAGAGGACTGATGGCTGAGGGCCATCTTCCAGCAGCACTCCTGGCATTTGGGGGATTGAATCCATCAATCCTGAAAGGGAACCTGAGTGGTAGATCAGTGTCCCTACACATACTCTCACAAGTAGGCAAAGGGAGTGAACTGGAGATTCCAGCAAAGGAGTGATAATTGACAGGACAAGGCCCAGAGCAGTCAGAAGAAACAGGATCAAGAGATGAGTTGACTCATTAGGTATAGAAAAGAGGACACATCTTCTCTGTATGGAAGAGAAGACAATGGATTAAAAAAAACTGGAGAGCAATTTGGATAGGAAGAGGCATTCACATGAGATAGCTTCCATCTTCTGTGTGTGGGAGGTAAGGTAATTTACTAAGAATAAGGGGGTGGTGGGAGAGTTGAGGAACTGAATAGAGTGAAAAGGTGTAATAA